AGACGCCACAACCAGTGCACTGACGTCTAGCCCAGGCGCCTCAACCAGTGCACTGGCGTCCAGGCCAGGCGCCACCACCAGTGCACTGGCGTCTGGTTTGGACGCCGCCCTTACTTTTTAATTTTTTTTTTTTTTGCCTTTTTTTTTTTTATTTTTTTAAATTATGTTTATTAAATTTATGTTTTGATTTAGGATGTGGAAATTTATGTTTTTTATTTGATTTTATAAAAAATATATATACTAGACTTATAAAAAATAACACATAAAATTAATAATTATTATAAAAAAAAATCAAACACATTAAAAAAAAATTAGAAAAATTTTCTGATTTTCCAAAAAAAAAAAAAAAAAAAAAGTTAAAAAAAAAAATTAAGGCAGCTGGGGCGCCTGGCCAGGACGGCCCGTGGCTGGTGGTGGCGCCAGGTCCGGCAGCCACGTCCACCGGCCTGGCGTCTGGGAAGGACGCCCAGCCACAGTGACTGGCGCCTGTCCCAAACGCCACTCACCGTGGCTGGGCGTCCTGCCCAGAGCCAGGCCGATGGACGTGGCTGCCGGACCTGGCGCCACCACCACCTTGCCGCCACGAGCCACCACTACCTTGCCGCCACAAGCCAACCACCTTGCCGCCACGAGCCTCGACATCCCCGTACTTTGATTTTTATTGAGGTTGTGTTTTTTTTTTTAAGGTCAAGGGCAATATTGTAACTTCAATATAAGTTTGTGGGCGTTATGTGGAGATTTGCGGGCGATGTTTAGCAATCCACATATGAAGAACTAGGGTTGAGTGTGAGTTCTGGAACATTCAATCCCAGAATTCAATTCATTCAACCACTTTCATCTTCAATTGAATGCTGATTCATTGAGAAAAGTAGTTGGGAAATTGTAATTAATTTTAAAAAATTGGGTAAATATGGTGGGAATGGTTAAAAAAACAAAACTAAGGTTAATTGTACTAAATATAGAATAGGAGTAATAAGATGGTTTTATAAAAAAAATAAGGGTAACTATGTCAATTTGTAGGATAAAACCTACTAAAAAAAGGAAAGAAAATATTTTGTTGCGAGTAATGTGAAGCAGCCATTTAAGGAATTTGTTACAAGTAATCCGAAGCGGAGGTAGTATATATATCGTTTTTTAATTTATATTTATTATTTTAAAAAAATATATATACATATAAAGTGGCACTGTTTGGCCCGCGGTCCGGCACGGCACGGCCCGCCAGGCACGTGGGTCGTGCTGTGCCGTGGGCTGGGGTGTGCTAAAATTAGGCACGACACGACCAAGCACGGCCCGCAGCGGCATGACACGTTGCCCATGTTTACATAAACCACGTCGACAAATTCGGGTACCTACCCGCATCATCATCAGTTGATTTAGATTCAGCCATGGATTTGGCAAAATGGTTTACAGATTCGGATTCAGGTTAATATGATGAGGAGGATGCGGAGTAATTATTTTTGTTACGGTGGTTTGGTTGTAATGTATTTTACATCTAAATATGGTTTTGGGTATCTTATTAGCGGCATGTAATGTATTTTAGGGATACTTTTAAATTTTTATTTTGTGGTTTGGTTGTTAGTGTTGTTTAGATCTATTGGTCCTATTATGTTTCTCATTTTATGCGGTTAAACACTTGCTTTTAATTTTAACTTTTATGCAGTAGATTATATAAACAAACCGCTTATATTTTGGCAATTACAAACTACTCATTATATACATGTAAATTGAAACTAAGAGCACTCCCAGCAGTGAGGAGAAAAGCCCTCACGAGTAAAAATAAGGGTGTAAAAAAAAATCCGAACACTATATCAGTGAGTGAAAAAACACTCACCGATGAGTGAAAAAAAAAACCTTCAAGAGTTGAGGGCTTTTGGTGATGAACAGTAACATGTGGCCCCCACTGCTTTTGTTGTTTTTGAAGATGAATAGTGGGAGGAGGAGGGCCCACTACTGTACGCATGTCCTGATTAAGCTCAGCCAAAATGCATGCAGCTTCCTCCATTCGATGACACGCGTCCCATGCATTGGTTGAGGGCCCACTACCATGCATTGGTTGGGTGGTTTCTTTTAAGCATTTCATTGAATCAGAAAAAAAAAAAAAAAAAAAAAAGTGATGAGAGGTTTTTTTTCTCTTCATTGCTGTGGTGAAAAAAACATTTAATGAGAGAAATTGTATGGGAAGAGTGAGAAAGTGGGTAGAGAGAGATTGAGAGGTTTTTTTTCTCCTCACTGCTGAGAATGGTCTAAGCTGAAATGAACATTTGAAATATGCATGTATGTGGACTTCAGGGGTAATATTGTATTGATGCATGTAGGCGGAGTCGTGGAGAGGCAAATCTAGATGAAGAAGCTTTGTATTATGCTTGTCATGACTTTTGTGAGTGTGAGACTAGACAATTAGCAGGCTACTAAAACTCGGTGCTCGACTCGTTATCGACTTTGACTCAAATTGTTAATGAGATTAGTTGAGCAGATTAATACTAGATATCAAAGCTCGTGAGCAAAATCCAATTCATTTATAAATTACTCCCTCTATTTTCTGGTATTTGCGTCAATTTGACCGACATATTTGTCGAGATGTAACTTTGACCATTAATATCTTTATTTGTCAAGTAGTAAAAGTTATAACAAAATTATATTATGAAACTAGATATTATGACAAATCTAATGATATATTATATAATATTACTTATTTATTTTTATAAGGTGAATAAAAAGTCAACCATGACATATAAACAGTAAAAAAAATCAAATTGATACATTTTTAAAAAAATGAAAGGAGTACTTTGTACTAATTTATTACTATATCAACTTTAATTTGACAAATTGCGAGGCGTATTGTGATGCGTCTAAGACACACATCAACTTGGTAAAAGTGATAATGACGTAGTGATATGGGGAAGGGTCACATCATCACCTCTTAGGGTGATCATCGCTATAGCCGTAGGGGCCTTATCATTTAGGTTTGCTTTTTGTAGAGATATTGCAAATCTTTAGCGATTTTCTCATCGTCATTACAGTCTACTGCTAGTAGCTATGGCAATTGTCCACGACATAGTTACTGTTTGAATGAAATCATTACATTGCTCCGTTTCTGATTGAGTTATAATAATAATAAACATAATAATAATAATAACAATAATATTAATAATAATAATAATAATAGTAATAATGATGATGATAATAATAATAATAATTATATATTTAATTTAATTCACTCTAGTTCAGCTCCAACGAGTTCTGTTTAGTTCATTCAAGTTCAATTCAATTTTTATCTTAGTTTCTCTCTCTCATAAAATATTCAGTTTAGTTTAGTTCGGTTCAACTCAAATAAGATCAGTTCAGTTCAGTTCAGCTTAGTTCAGTCAATCAGAATATTTCCTTAAGCAAGTAATAAGTATTAAATACTGGCATTACTTTTATATGTGTAATATACTTTGTATCTATTAATGTAGAGGATACGTTCTTGTAATGTATTTGTCCAAGTTCGTATTCCAATAATTATCGTAAAACGGTTGCTTAAGATAAGTCCATGTTCTACAACTGACTTGAATTGAAATGAATTGTACTAATTAGAGCTGAACTAAACAGAACAAAATTGAATTGTGAATGGGATATGGAAACTAATATCTGAGCATAACTAAAATTAACTGAACTGATTGAAACTAAACTGAAATAAACGGGATTGAAATTATGCTTTAGAGAACAGGCCCTAACTGAAATAATGTAGTTCATATGATATGACCCGTTAGTTAGGTACTCATAGTTACATTGAAGATCATTAAGCTGTCGAGAATAGTCGTTAGCATAGTCGTTAGCACTCATATACGAGTAATAATGTCGTTACCAGTCAAACATTGAAACATGTAATAGTGAAATGGACATTGAAACATGTACTCATAGGGATGACTCTTCTAACATGCATTTTAAGATATTTTTTCTTTATCCAATTACTATCATCATTGCTAATTTGCTTTAAAGAAAAGCCAATGGTTGCTTAAATTAATGGTGGTCATCAATTTTTTTTATTAATATCTTTCATCTCATTTATGCCTAATCACCATGCCCAGTCATCATGGTTATTTGTGTAGCAAATTCGGAAAGATTATTTGTCTAGCAAATTCAGAAAGATTATTTTGTAATTGATACCAAAAAAACCCCTTATGATAATTAGGGTCATCATAAGTCATTAGAATTAATTTCATCACAAAACGGAGGATCAATATGAGTCACACTTACAAGTAACTTTATCTAAAATGTGGTGCATGAAGGGTCTATTCTAAATCATTAAATAGTGGTGCATGAAGGGTAATCTGTTCTAACCGACTGAGGTGAACTAAACTAAACTTATTAGAGTTGAACTTAAATGAATTGAAATGCAGATTTTATATAAGAAGGAAATTACGTATGAACTGAATTTTATTCCAGGTAATTTCAATTAAGTGTAGCTCCATACAATCCGAAACGAAACGGACATTAAATAGTGGTGCATGAAGGGTAATCTTTTCTAACCGACTGAGGTGAACTAAACTAAACTTATTAGAGTTGAACTTAAATGAATTGAATTGCAGATTTTATATGAGAAGGAAATTACGTATGAACTGAATTTTATTCCAGTTAATTTCAATTTAGTGTAGCTGCATACAATTCGTTTGTTGTACTTGGATGTCCTCGTTATTAGTCACTAGGAGATGGAAGATTAAAGGATAGTAATTATGTGTCAATGTTGTACTTCGTATAAATTTATTTGCCTTAAAAATAAGGAAATAAGTATGTGTTATCTCACTTGATGATGTTCTTGTAATGTTATTACCATGAGGCCAATGTACTTTAATCACATTTTATGTAAGTGTGTATTCACATGTGTTAGTTTTTTGTTTTTGTTTTATATAATCGATCTATTTTTTTTTTTTTAGAAAATTAAATCCATCTACTTAAACCCTAAACAATATACAATCAAGCTTGGACAACATAGATTACCATAATAAAGAGAACCAACTTTATCTCCAGACAAAAGTTGTTGCATCATAAACCATTCTAACAAACACCATTGAAATTACTTGGCCATCACCGATAGGCATCCGAACTAATTGAGGAATCTGAAGCACCATACACACCATCATCGACCCCAAACTTATCTCCACTATTAGAGTTTGAAGACGAATGCCTTCCATCATCTTCTTCAGGATCACCTTCACCTTCCTCTTCAGGGCCATTTTCATTTGCCTGACCCCTTCCTTACCGGCATTGTTATCATCAGCCCCCTCTACACCGGCATTGTTATCATCATCCCCCTCCGCACCGGCATTGTTATCATCAGTCCCCTCCACATCTTCACTGTTATTATTGTCATCATTTCCTTCCTTTTCCTCATTGTCATCCTCATCGCCATTCCCATCATGAGAATCATTCCCCTCTTCTTCTTCTTCTCCTTCCATCTCCTCCTTCTCTGCTTCTTCTTCTGCTTCGCCTTGATCCGCATCAGCAAGAGGTTCCACCACTTGGTTCATTTTAATAAACTCTTCTTTTTCGTTGCTTATCTCCATATCGCATTCGCCACCCTCAACACCACCAACATCGGCTCCACTTCCATTAGAAGGCTCACCATGCATATTGAATGACTTACCGACTAACCGCCTCTTTGTCATCGGCATATCATCGTCACTGTCGCTATCCATTTGGATTACACTCTCGTACTTATTATCATCGATTCTTAGTCGTTTCCCTTCCCTCTTGTCTTTGTTAGACCTGCCGGGATTGCCTAACTGACGTTGATTCAACTCGAGTTCCTTCAACAAGGCATCAACCTTTCGAATTTTGTCATCCCTAACTTTGACAAAAGCGGCTAATTGCCCTTCAATATTATCCCTCCTTTGTTCGAGTATTCGACGGAAAAATTCAGAAATTGGAGTTCTCCATTCTTTCCGGCCATGATCAACGCTTCAAACAAACAATTAAAAGAAATAAAAATCCTTTCTTTTTTGGAAAACGCAAAAACTTGACAGAGAAAAGTTTTTGGACAAAATACAGGAGGAAACTTTGAAATATATAAAAGTATTATCAAGTACCAACTATCGTAACAGTCCCAACCATCGCAACAGTGCAAACCATCGCAACCTTTCAATTTGAAGTCTCTTAATGTACTCTGTTATCCCGTTTTGGCAGAAGAGGAATAGATGCATCGCTTCATACAAAGCGCGTAAACAAATGCACTTCTATTTTAATTGTCCAATAGTAAACACTTGTTAAATACGAAGTGTTTCGGGGTTTTCTGATGTCCTGCGGTAGAGTTACAATTCCGAGACTGGAACCGGACGCCTGTACCTGCAAAACAAACGGACGCTCCGGATGATTGGAGATCCGCCTCCGACGGTCAAGTTAGTACTTGATTAAGGAGTAATTAATGCGGAAATTAAAGTGATTGGGTCTCTCTAGGTGAGAGTGTTTAATGTGTGTAATCTGCGTCACCCCCCTTAATGAGGATTAAAGGAGGTATTTATAATCTCGGGAAACGTGTCAATCCTAGGTTTAGGTTAACCTTGGGCTGATTGGGCTTCCCTCGGAAGTTGGGCCTAGGTGGCCGACTTCTCCATTAGGCATGGAGTATGTCACGTGTCATGACATAAAAGGTCTAGGGTGGACGAATAAACGTGTGCCACGTGGCAAGTCCTGAGAGGTCCAACTGGGGGACACTTGGCAGGACCTGATTGGCCCACGTGGCGCATTCCGATTGGTGGGAGCAAAATCCTCTAATCATTTGCCCCTCACAAGTGGCACGTGACTGGTCACGTATTACCTGTGACAGGTGTCGCCCTGTAACAGGCGACGACCTGCTACAGGTGTCACTCGGCGAAAGGCCGAGAGATTCTCCTGCCCAAATTTTGAATTCCGGAAGTGACCCTTCGCCTTCTCACTTCGCCTATATAAGGGAGTGTTGCCTTCGGTCATTTTCACACTTGAGAACTTTGTGAGAGAACATTCGGACCCCTGAACTTGCTCTGACATTTTGGACCCTTTCTGCCTACCGCCTGCTCTGACAAGCCGACTGCAAAGTATTTTCAGAACTTCATCAATCGTCACTCGTTCAGGTAACCGTCGGTTCTCTTACTCTTAATTTTCTCTTTACTTTATTCTTTTTTGAAATGGCACCACGGAAGCACACGACACAACCTAGGTTAGCGATCAGCCGGTCACCGGGGACGGCTGAATCTAGGACTAGGAGTGCCGCCTGCCCTTTTCTGGACCCATCTTTGCCCTTTATACAAAGTCCGACTGTATCTGTGTCTATGCAGAACATGATGGCCAGAACAAAAAAGACGGCTAGGATCTCGAAGTCAGACGGCTCCTCCCACCGGGTGCCGATTAGTGAAACATCTGACCAGGCGCCAGATGTGGAAGTGAAACAAAGCGGCTTGAAAGCCGGCAGTTCTGAGGGAGGAGTTAAAGTGACCCCTTCCCATTGTTGAAAATTCTACATTCTCTCCTGCTCCTTTTAAAGGAGAGGAGACGGGCCCCTCTGGGAGAGGGGAGGAGTCGTCCTCTTCGGACTCGTCAGAGGACGAATCCGAGTCTAGCTCTTCTGGCCATGCTTCTCTGGACACAGAAGAGAAAAACAGTCGCCTACAAGAGGCGAGGCTTTCTCACGCAGTTGAGAAGGGGGACAATTGGGCGGAGCCATCCGCCTCTCACCGAGAGCAAAATACCCCCTAATACTACACGGTACCTCGGGGCCGGATCACGGCCATGCAAGAAAAAGTGGGGAGCTTTATCGCAAACCACACAATGGGCCCCGACTTTTTAGTGTTCGTGCCGGATCCAGAAGACATAGTCGTCTGGCCGGCTGGTACTAGTTATGATGGCGCCTGCTTTGGCTGCTACGAGGCGGCCATCAAGGCTGGGCTGCGCTTCCCACTACATCCGGCTGTTCAGCGGATCTTGGATGGGTATGAGTTGGGGTTATGGCAGTTAGCCCCGAACTCCTGGGTCAACGTACTCGGCTATGTGGCCGGGTGCGAACTGCACGGAGTGGAGCCGAACTTCGAGGCTTTCGCCCACATGAACTACCTCAGCCGGACCCCTAAGGCAGGCGGTACCGGCTGGTATCAATTGACGAGCCACAGGGGCTACCTCATGACAAGAGGTAAAGCAAACAAATGGAAGGACTGGCGGAGCACCTTCCTTATCATTGAGAGTTCAAACACAGAGCTGAACAAGCGATTCAACAGGTGGAACAGGAATCCGCCCCTTCTTGCAGGCGGCCGCAGCATGCCGCCTGTTCCCCCCAATGCTAAGAAAGAGATCCTAGATAAAGGACTCTTCAAAGTAGAGTCGAAGGTGAACTCTACTTCAGGGGTACGAGAGCAAGTACCCCTGCACTGCGTCCCGAGCTTCAAATGGCTCTACGACGAGTACTTTTTGGCCGCCTATGGCCTCAGCAGTCGGTGCTCAAAAGGTAGCCGGCCTGTCGAATACTCTGTTGTTCCATGCATTTCTGTTATGACTTTTATTAACTTTGCTATTTGTTTTTGCAGCGGACGCCATGAGCAAAATTACCGCCTCCAAAACTGCGGCGGCCATGTTGCGGGCCTCCATCATGCAACAGTCTTCAACCGACTCCCCCAACAAGGGGGCACCCTTGGTGGGCTTCGAACCTTTCACTCTCTTTTTGGAGTTGTGTTTATGCATATACTGACTCTTTTCTTCTTTTTTTAGACGGGCGCTCCAAGAGCTTCTTCTTCCCAACAGCCGGACTCCAAGGCCCGGAGGACGACTGTTGCGAGCTCTCCTGGTTCTGCCAGGAAACATGCGGCGGCTGAGAAAACAGCCGACCACTCCTTCCAAAACTCCAATTGGGCCGCCTAGAAGTATGAAGTTGTCCTTGTAAATTTTAGACTTGCTCCCTTCTTTACTAGGTCTAATCCGTTTGTCTATGCTTAATGCAGCCGGCCCTCAGGAGCCTGACTTGGTCGAGGTGGCCAAGTCTATGATCAAGGCCTTTCCTCCAGCTGAAAGGGAGGCGGTCAGGGGTGTCGGCACCCTTGACCTAGACGGGATTGCAGGGGTCCTTGCTGAGGTATACTTAGCATATTTTTGGTTATTTAAATTCCAGGACGCCTGTTTTTTGTTTGAAAACTGACGCCTGTTCCCTTTTACTTAGGCCCTGCTCCGAGTGAACGGCCTCCGCAAGCCGCTTGACAGGAAGAACAAAGAGGTAAAGGCTGCAAAAGCTATGGCCGCCTCTGACTGTGATAAGGCAATGTTTCAAATTGCCCAAAATGAGGTTCTGACAATTGATATTCTTTATTATCAAGCGCAGGCTACCGCCGCTATCCGGGCTCAGTTAGAGGCGGCCCAGAAGAGGAATAGAGAGCTGGAGGCGACCATCAATAATCTCAAGGCCGAGCTGAGACCTCTTCGCCAAAAGATGTCCTCATACGACACCTTGGAGAAATCCTTGGCGGCTGTTAAGGAACGCCTGGTGACCCAGGAGAAGAGTCTTACTCAGGAGCTCTCGGAAAAGGCCGAGCAAGAAAAGAAAGAGCTGGTCCGGGAGATGATGGAAGACTCTGCTCAAATCCAGCGCATGACTTGGGGCCGCCTCTTCCCCAATGCCGACTTTGCCTCCTGGGAAAAAACGTACCGCCAGTGTTCTGATAGATATAATCAAGAGATCCTGGCGGCTGCTGAGGACGAGGCGTTGGAGGAGGAGGAGCAGCCAGTAGTGGCGCTTGTGCCGCTTGGGGGTAATGCATCGAAGAAGGATGTAGCTGAAGCCGAGTCCAGCAAAAAGAGTGCTGACCAGGCGGCAGCTGCTAATATTGAAGATCTGCCCCCTTCTTAAGCTTTATGTCTTCTTTCCACGGCCTGCGTGCCGTTTGTTTGTATTTACCCGGCCAGGGGGCCGGGGCTCTGAATATTTGGCCGGTCTTTAATGACCGGCTTCCTTTTAATGAATACTTTTGTTTTGCTTCAAATTTGTTTAAGTATTGAATATTCTGATATCCAATTGCACACTATACCGACTGTTTTACATGGCCGATAGTTGCAGACTGGTACGGATAGTTAGTCACGCCGCCTATGCCCCTGGACGACTGGTTGTCTGTTTCCAGGCTAGGCGATCAGTCGACCATTTATCCAATCGGTATTCGACCCATTTTAAAGACTGGATCCCCTTTAGGCAGGCGGTCTCGTCATTTGTAAAATTAACCAAGTAGGAAAGTGGTTTCCTACCTGTCATGTTTTTAGGCTAGAGACTTTAGGCAATCTAGGCCGACTGTTCCTCGCCACATTTAATCTAGTGTGAACAGGTGCTGTATGAACACCTTTTTAGTTTCATACTAAATTTTTAAGGAGTGACCAAGTAAACATGATTGTTACCTAGTCGCCGAGTGACTAAGTAGTAGAGGTTTCAAGCGGTGGGTACCGGTTGCTCCCCTTTATTCGCCAATGTTTGTTGGCTATCAACTCATAAGATACCGACTGTTCTTATCCCAAGTAGTCCAGTCGGTTGGTTGACACGGATGGTTACTGCGAACACTTGTTTGACCTGATTAGTCAGTTAAGTGAGAGGTATCCTTGTCCGGGAAACAGCTACGTGGTTGTCTTGTTTAGACAGTCGTATAGGTGCCGTGTAATGATTTTATAGAACAATGTTCCACCCAAAAGGGAGCTGCTCTCTGCGACGAATTTCATCCAGATGGATGCTGTCGGACGCCTGCTATAACGTTGGGACAGGTCGAATTGAATTTTTATATTTTGATTAGTTGGCTTGACGCCTGGTCTGATCATTTTAGCCATGAGCCTTTGATAGTTCTTGGTGAATTGTATTATGGGAGAGTAGCCGGTTGAGTGAAACAAGCGGCGTGCCCCTCTTAAGTAAGAATAAAAATTAAACATGGAGAGTAGCCGACTGTTTATCAGTAGGCATGCCCCTCTTAGGTAAAAATGAAAACTAAATATGGAGAGTAGCCGACTGTTTGTTAGTAGGCGTGCCCCTCTTAGTACAAAATTGAATGAAACAACAAACTTTTATTAAGTAGCCCTTGACTATTTACATCATTCAAAAGAAATATTTCTTAAGATTATCTACATTCCAAGTTCGAGGAAACGGTTGGCCGTCTGGTGTTTCCAGACGGTAGGTACCGTCCCTGACCTCTTCACAGATTCGGTAGGGTCCTTCCCA